AAAAAAAAAAAAAAAAAAGTATTGTGGTACGTTTCTAGAGGCAAACCATGTGGCATGAGGAAGCAACTATGAACAAAATTGGTGCGTTCCAGCCCAGAAAAGAGCTCAGAACTGGCTCTTATGTCTGCCCAGTGCTGTCCAGACCAACAGTCTAAACTAACAGTTGCCACAGTCCAATAGCTATAGGTGTGGTAGAACACACCAAATGGGGTGGGGGGTCAAGATATTTAGTCAGTTGTTTTTCTTTGCCTCTAGGTTCCTCAGCTGTACAAAATTAAGGGATACCAGCCATTCTCTATCCATGAGTCTTCAACAAGTTACAAATCTCAAAAGCTCAGACGGCCCCTGAAGCAAGGAGCTGAGGTGACATAACCCTACCTTCGAGAATAGCTCTCACAGGGCTGGGGAGATAGCTCAGCAGTCCAAGCACCTTCCTGGCAAGTGCAAGGACCTGAGTTCGATCCACTATACCACATGCCCTGGAAATCTGGGCATACGATGCAGGCCACCAAAGCCAGGCACAGTGGTACACACTGTAATCCCAGCACTAGGGAAGCTGAGAAAGGAGGATCACTATGAATCCAAACTACATAGCGAGACCCTGTATCAAATAATTAATTTAGCTCTCACCTTCAGCCCTTTGTCCTGGCATCAAGATTTATAGGCTGTTCTTGGTCCTTAACAGGATGAAGTCACCACCATCATAGCACTTCCAAAGCAGAGCTCAACCTCTCCACTCTCTGGCAAGCCCTCAATCTTGAGCATGAAGCCACCTGAGAACTTGGGCATGTCCCCGGACTATGACCCACTATATATCTTTGTAAGTAACAATTGGCAGAAGGCTTGTACTCAGTGTTCCTTTAGTTTAGCAGTTACCCTCTAACGATGATGGCAAATCTTTTAGCGCTCTCAGTGATAACAAGTAGCCGATTGCAACATTTGTGCCACAGATTTGCCGCCACTAAAAGACACCAAAACACTCACTGGGAATTTTTTCTCTCTGTATTATCAAGTGTTAAACTATAGCATCCTCAGAATTGCTTGGCCTTATGTAATTCTTTAGAAAATATTAGTGTTTCTGTCTCTTAACAATTCCAGCATTTATTTTTATAAAATACGGTCTTTCTACTTGCGTAGGACATATACATATAGGCCGAGGAAGAAATCAAGAGAAATTAGAAAGTACATTTAACTGAATGAAAGTGAGAACAAACAAAAATTTGATGGAAATTGTATTGCATTCCGTGCCTGTATTAGAAAAGAAAAATCTCGAATGAACGTCCTGGGCTGACCCTTCAAGAAAGTAAAACAAAAAAAGAGTAGATTAAGCCCAAACTATGAAAAAAAGAATAAGCATCAGACTGAAAAACAAACAGAAGCAACACAAAAAATAGAGGAAAACTTATTGTTACCAAAATAAATCAAGCAGACTAACCTCTAACCCAAATGATCAGGAAAGAAAGACAAAAGACACAAATTACCAATATCATGAATGAAAAATATGACATCACTAAAGATCCTAAAGAGATAAGTTAATATTTTGAAAAACCTATGCTGATAAATCCAACAACTTAAGTTAAATGTGGAAATTTAGATAAAGGCACAAACTATGAAATCTTATTCAAGAGGAGAAAAATAACACAAATAGCTCTGAATCTATTACACAAGTTGAATTTATAGTCAAAACCCTTCCCACAAAGAAAAGTTCAGGATCAGGTGCCTAATTACTAATCATCTTCTGGATTTCAGCAGTGTTCAAAGTAATTTAGTCTTTTTCATTTTTCATTATATCAATATAGATCTTTTCTTTCTTTCTTTTGGTGAGTTTGGCTAAGTATCTATCTTGCTTATTCTTTTAAAGAACCAACTCTTTGATCCATCAGTTCTTTATACTTTTGTTTAGTCTCAATCTCATGAATTTCCATTCTGATATATATAATTTCCTTGTTTTTTTAAATAATTTTATTTATTTTTTTTAATTGGTAACTGTGGCTTTATTTTTTATTTATTTTTATTTATTTTATTTTTGGCAGAACTGGGGATTGAACTCAGGCCCTTGCGCTTGCCAGGGAAGCACTTATTCCACTGAGCCATCTCCCCAGCCCCTAATTTCCTTCTTTGTACTAACTTGGATTTGATCTTGTTTTTCTAGGAACTTGAGGTCTATCATAATTTATCTGGCCTCACTCTTTTTTTCTAATATGGCCACTGATAGCAATAAACATCCCCCTAGGACTGCTTTCATTGTGTCCCGTGGGTTCTGATATGTTGAATCATTTCATGCTAAGAACTGTTTCATTTCTTCCTTGATCTTTTCCTGTGGCCCACTGATTATTTAAGAGTGTGCTATTTAATCCCCGGGTATCTGGCTAGTTTCTACTGCCATTGACGTCTAGTTTCAACGTGCTATGATTGATAACATATATGGGCTAAATTATTTTGTGTTTATGTAAGTAAGCTTTGTGGGCTTTGTGTGGTCTATTTTGTTGCTGAGAACATGCATTCTTTTTTGTGGGACATAACACTCGGTAGATACCCATTAAGTCCATTTGTTCAAAGGTATGACTCAATTCTTTTTTTTTTTTTTTTGCCGAACCAGGGATTGAACTCAGGTATTTGCACTTTCCAGGGAAGTGCTTATTCCACTGAGCCATCTCCCCAGACCTTTTAATTCATTTCTTGGTGGATTTTTTTTTTTTTGTCTAGTTGATCTCTCTATTTGTGAAGGTAGGATGCTAAGGTCCCCAACTATGATTGTGTTGATGTTTACCTCATCTTTGATGTTCAGGAGTGTTTTGTGAAGTTGGTTGGGCCAGTATTTTGGTATACATATTTACAATTGTTATCTATTTCTGTTAAACTGATCCCTTAACTAATATGTAATGGCCTTTGCCTTGTCTGATCAGTTTTTGCCTAAAATGTGCTTTGTTTGAAAATGGGATAGCTACTCCTGATTATTTGCTAGCTCCAAGTGCATGGAATATTATTCTCCATCCTATAGTTTTTAGTGTATGAATTTCTTTTTGGATTATATGTGTCTTTTATACACAGCATAGCATTGGCCTTTATTTTGTTGATCCAGGCTCCTGATTGTGCCTTTTGCTTGGGTGCTTGAGCCCATTTATAATGATTTTTTTTTTGCTCCAAATGCCCTCAGGGCTGGTTTGGCTGGCTGGAGTGTTGTGGGGATCGAACTACAGCAACCTGAGGCTGACAGCTTTGTGGAAGCAGCCACTTAAAGAACTGAGCTAGGGCCAGGCCCCCAAGCCCATTTATAATGAGAGTTATTGCTAAAAGATAATGATTTATTCCTGTCATTGCATTATTTTTCGGTTGCTGATTCTCTTAATTTTCCCCCTTTTGTTTAATTGCTCATCCTGCTTGGTGTATCTGTTACATTGGCGGGGGGTTCCCACATTTTTGGCTTCATTATCTCTCATATGTCCATGAGAATTTTGGGGAGTGCTGGCGTGGTGATCGCGGAATGCTTGGACTTCTCGTCAGGACATACTAGTCTCGGTTAGAAGTTGTTTTGGCTTACGACTTGAAGCCTTCACTGCAAGCTCCCCTGGCCTTTAAGGGTGGAGCTGAAAAGTCCGCTGTAATTCTAGTGGGTTTACGAGTGATTTGTTGCTTTTCTCTAACAGGTTTTTAAATACTATTCTTGTGTTGGACTTCTGGGATTTTAACTACAATGTGTCAGACAAGCTCTTCCCTGGTCGTGGCATGTGGGGATCCATATGACTCACTTACCTGTGTATTGAATTCTTTCCCTTCTTTCTCCTACTTGGGAAGTTCTTTTCAATTGTTTCTATAAGCAGACAGTTCTGTTCCATGAGTGCTGTCCTCTGTCTCTTCTCTAACTCAAGTTGGTCTTCTTTAGGTCATCTAGTAGCTGCTGGATCAATTTTCCTTGTCCTCATTGTTTTTAAGGTATCTCTGAGTATGCCTCCGATCTGCCTTCTAGATGTAATATTTTCTGCTCACAGTTTCAGTAGAATTTTTCATTCCAAGATTGCTGTTTGGCACTTTTGATGGACTCTAATTCTCTGGTACATTTGTCATTCATATTTTGAATCATTTTGGTTAGCTCTTCTGATTTTTTTTCATTTGAACCTTTTTAGGCTCATTGATCAGTGTGTTCAGTAAGTCCACTGTGTTTGGTTATATCGTTTTTGAGCTCATCGAGTTTCTTTGTTGCTTCTGAGATGATTTCAAGCAATTCAGCCCCATGGCTACTGCTTTCCATCTTGTCAGCGCTGCTTGGATCGCTCTGGAGTAGTTGGCAGTTCTGCAAGGGTCTTGTTCTCCAGCCGCATGGATGCACCATGCCAGCCTGTGAGCAGAAGGCCTGCTGATCCTGCCGTCCTTCTGGGCCAGCCTCCTGCTTGCAAGTGGTGCTCTGGGCTTGGCTAACTGCAAGATTTTGTCTTTGTCCCAAGATCTGACCCCTGCAGCTACTTTGGAGAGGGCAGATGTGGCATAGCTTGGCCAGGCTTGGATTCTCTGTGGACCTCTTCCAGGGACCTCGAGGTCCTGCTCCCTTCACTGCATGCCAAGGACTGCAGTCACTCTCTGTCTGCCCTCCACAAACCTTTAGCAGAAAGCCCTCTGACCCAAGTGCCATTCTGAATCCCTCCACTCACAGTCCTTTTTCACTCATTGTCCCAAGAGCTACATTCTCATGTGCTCCTTGCCCTCTTCTTGTCCAGGGCTCCTCCATGGGCGCACACTAGCAAATGTGGGCAGTGCACTGAATGTCCTATTAGTACAATCCTGGGGAAGAATGGGTTGCTCACTATCTGTGGGTCAGTCAGCCCTTCTCTCCCTAACGTCCCTCCACTCCCAGCCTTGGTTCCTCACTGTTGCCTGCAGGTTCCCCAGTGCTGCCGTGTTGTCTCTTACACCTGCTCTCTAGCTTTGCGTTTCTCCAAAGCCTTGGCTCTTGTATATCTTCCTCACAGTGCTCCTTTTCCTGGTAAGGTGGCTGTGAGCCTATTCCACAGCTAGGCCTCCAGTGAGGTGCTGTCTCCCTCCCTCAGATAGCCTAGTGCTCTCCCAAGATGGTCCAGGTAGGCCAGGCCTGGACTGAAAGGGGAGCTGTGATCCCACAGTGGTTTGACTCCCCCTTACACTGGATTTTGTAAGGCTTATGTAAGAACATTCTTGGCAGCTGTGTATGCTCCAAGAGCTAGGGTGGGGGTTTACCAAAAGGTTACTGCACAATCAAATTATAGTATGAATATACAACAAGATATTTCTCTGTAATAAAAGCAGGAACTTTTGGTAATATAACAACATGGATGATTCTCAAAATAATTTGTGATGAGTAAGAAAAAAGAGCACATATTGTATCGTTCCATTTGCATCCAAAGTAACCCATGCAGAAAGAGCGCAGGTCACTGTCTGCCTGGGGCTGGGTTCAGTCGGCAGGATAGAAGGACCACAAGTGGTAATGGAAGGATGACAAAGGGCCTGAAATAACCTCGGGGGTGATGGGAATGTGTATTACAGTATGTATATGGCAGTGATGTTTTGCAACTATAACCTCAGTCCTAACATAACAAATTGTATACATCAAATATGTGGTTTGTTGTACAGCAATTTACATCAGTACAGAAGTGAAAGAAACTATTAGTACACCTCAAGGAAAAAAACAAAAGACAGAAAGAAGGAAGCAAAGAAAGAAAAAAAAGGAAAGAGGGAGGGAAGGAGGGAAGGAAAGAGAAAGAAGAAAGAAAGAAAGAAAGAAAGAAAGAAAGAAAGAAAGAAAGAAAGAAAGAAAGAAAGAAAGAAAGAAAGAAAGAAAGAAAGAAAGAAAGAAAGAAAGAAAGAAAGAAAGAAAGAAAGAAAGGAAAGAGAGAGAGAGAAGACAGAACGCGAGGAAGGACTGGTGATGACCAGGAAGGCATCGTGGCAAAGCCCTGGGGTGAGATCTGCACAGGAAGCCTACGAGAGGGAAGATGAAGGGCCCTGGAGGACAGAGGTCTAGGAAGGTGGAACCCCACACACCAACAGCGCAGTTCAGAGAATGGATATACTCAAGGATTCTCAAAGACACAACATTCAAATAAAGAAAACAATTATAGCCAGGTGTTGTGGTGCACACCTGTGAGCTTAGCTACTCCAGAGCCTAAAAGGCCAGAGGATTGCAAGCTCAAGGCCAGCCTGGGCAATTCAGCAACACCCCATCTCAAAATGTAAAATCATTTTTAAAAACCCAAGGATGTAGCCCAGTGGTAGAGCGTTTGCCTAGCTTGTGCTAAACTAAGTCCAGAGCTGGTGAGATAGCTCAGTGGTCTAAAGCACCTGCTTAGGCAAGCTTAGGCAAGCATGCAGGGACCTTGGTTCAATCCCCAGCACCACATGCCATGCCAGCCTTACCCCCAGGGTGGGCTGAGCTGACCATAAAAAAAAAGAAAGAAAGAAAACATTTTTTAAAAAATTAAAAAATAAAATAAAATAAAATTTTTTAAAAAAATAATAAAATAAACTAAATCCAATCCCCAGTAGAGACTTCAAAAGAGAGGGGAGGTAGAGGGAGAGAAGAAGTAGAGAGGGAAGAATGGAGGGAAGGAAAAGGAAAGAGATAGGACAGGAGGCGAGAGGCAGGAAGGATAAACTCTAGGAGGGAAAAAAGTCAGTAAAGGTCCACAGGCATTCCAAATAGGAAACAAAATTAAAAACTAAAATTTGATATGTTTTAAAGGGTTTATGTAACATTTAAAAATAGAATCCATGTAGCTTTGGTACTAGAACTCTTTTCCAACAGCCACAGTACTGAGTTTAGTTTAAGTGGTTTGGTTTGCTTTGTGTCATGCTGAGAAGAAACACAGGCACAAGGCTAGTCGAGGCAAGCACAATCTCGAACCTTCCCACACAAGACATATAAACCCAAAAGCCAAAAGACTTACATGTTTACACACTAACATCGAAACAAATGCTATTCATTCATTTTCAATTTTTCGAGACAAACTGTGAACAAAACATGCAAGTCTTGGTTGTGGTTCCCGAGTGTGAATGTTAATAATATAAAAGTAAAAGTGTGGAAGAGAGATGAAAGGGAAGGCAAATAATAATAATAATAATAATAATAATAATAATAATGTTTTCAGTTTGCCTAAAGAGAAGATGCTCAGTGTAAGATGATGAGCTGGGTACGAGGACACACGCCTGCAGTCTCAGCCACCTGGGAGACTGAGGCAGTGGATCGCTAGGTCCCAGAAATTCAGGACCAGCCTAAGCAGCATAAGGAGACTGTCTCAAAATCATAATGAAACAAGGAATAGGAGGACAAGTGCATCATTTCAGGTAGAAGGGCAAGTTACTAACAAGGACAGTGCAATTTTCAAAATTGAAGAGAAGTTCCTTCCTGTGGAGGGAGAAAAGCTTCGCCTCACACAGTGATGATTCAGTAGCTCCTGCAGGAGCTTGAAAATCAAGGAGTGGAAGAATAAGCAGAATGTTTGGAATTAGTGCTGTGACCCTCAGAGGCTCAAAATCTAGAAACAAAGGAAAGAAACCACTACTGGGCTGGGCCTGGGGACAGGCAGCACCCGCGGAGCCCGTGGCTGGCTGTTCATGGCAAATCCTCGCAGCAGCGTGATGACACCAGGAGACACCACCATATGCATTCAATAGTTAAGGGAAATGAAAACTGAAATCATCCTGGAATGACTGCTCAGACCGCTCTACCCTGGAAGTGGTGGCCACCAAGGGGAATCTGAAGTACGGTAGCTATTGGAGACAATGTTGTTGGCATTTCCAAAATCACTGCTTTCATCTCAGCACCTTCTCAGTCAACCAGAATAGGAGACACCCCAAAGGGCACATGGGCAATTTCTTCCTCCCTGGTGCTATGCACCTCTGCCCCATCCTTCCTCCAGTAGCGTGTGGCCAGCCCCATTCCCATCCCACCACCTGCTCCTATATGCTGCCCAACCCTTGCTCTGCTGCACAGACCCATGAAGGTGTGGGCTTGTTTCTGTAAAGCGGGCTCCCTGTCCACCCCTCCTCTACATGCCTCCACCAGAACCCCTGGGCATCTTCCCCAAGGCCTTCATCCTGACCAAAGCTGCAGCTCAGCCTCTCACACCCACAGCCCACAGCCTCTCCAGTATTCTTGGGTCACCTGCAGTCCACATCTGGACCCTCCCAGATGTGCCTGGGGGTGGCTGAGACGCCTCCCCATCTAGCTATAAGTTCCTTAAATGGAAGTGGGGAGAGAGCCTTTGTTTCTCAGTGAGATCAGAACCCCATAAATCAAATGGAATTCTGAGGGGGAAAACCAAACAAAGAAAATGAACAAAATCTTAGCCTAATGGTTCCTAAACATTTGAGATTAAACAGCTGTCAGGGAAAATCTGTGCTGTTTAGGACAAAAGCAGGGTATTCATTGTGCAAGCTCTGAGAAGAACATTAAAGGGCTCTAGATTTTAGTATTGTGATACAATTGTTCTGTGACTCCATTAGTTCTGCCAGAGAATTAGTTTTAAGGAAAAAAAAAAAGTTTTAAGGAAAAAAAAAAAAAAGAAAGAAAGAAAGAAAGAAAGAAAGAAAGAAAGAAAGAAAGAAAGAAAGAAAGAAAGAAAGAAAATCTCAAAGCCAGATACTACAACCCAATGGAGCCTTCCCGAATTAAAAACATTACCTAAACAATGTTAAATGCTGGCATTTCCGGGTATATCAAATGTCACTCTCTTCTCAGTCCTCTCTTCAAAGCAGTTTCTAGGAGGCTATTTTTCTTCTCAGAACCAGAAGGTCATTTGCTTTTGAAAACTAGTTTGCTTATTTGATCATTCCCCCTAATCCATCATAATTACAAACAAATACTTTAAGACGCGATTTTCAGTTGTGCTTCTTCCCCTGGGTGGTTAGTAAGCTCACAAGGCAAGCAGAGAAGCCCTCGACCCCACGAAGCAGCGTTTATGAGTGACAGTGGCCACTCACAGTGTGGCCAGCTCCGGGGCATCTGTGCTCTCCAGCTTCCCTTTCCCAGACGAGTGTGAGTGTTGGTGGGAGCCAGGGAGGCTGTTAGCTGACGCCCGTCCTTAGCCGACCTTGGAAACCGTCAACAGAGAGTTCTTCTTCTCTCTCGCACAGAATCCCAACCCGGGCTTATTTGCCGTGAAGCACCCCCTGACCTACTCAGAAACGCTGATAGATTACCACCTGTGTACCCATCCCAAGTACAAGTTCACCCACGAGGTGCACTGTGGCTCCAGCATCCCTCTCACCCAGAAGCAGTTTCTCCATCACACGGTAATCCCCCACCCGGCCCCCTGGCAGCGCTGGCCTTGGGTTAAAGGGAGATGCAAGGGACAAGGTCAGAGGGTCACAGCTGGGACTGAAAAAGAAGAGGCATCCAACCACAGCTGCAAACAGCAGCCCTCCTGGATCCAGGTGCAGACTCAGGACCCTGTCTGTCCTGTCAGAATTCACCTGTGAGCTCCACACTACCCGTGTCCAGGGTCCGCACTGTTTCACTCTCAGGCGACACCTGGTGCTCATTCATTCATATTTGCACCATGCAAAAATGGTCACCTGAAAGCAGAACCACACCACGGCCTGGCCTCCTTTTACTTGGTCCCAGTAAGTTTAGAAACCCTTGAATGGCCCAAGGGTAACATGACACTGAGCAGAAAAGAACTGGCTCCAAAGAATTCTTTCTCTCCCCGGGTGACCAACCTGACCTAAATGCCCCAGAACCCTTGCGGGGTCCCCACAGGCCCCTCAAACTCAAGCACTTCCCAAACAGATCATTATCCTTGCCCAGCTTCCACCAGTTGTGCCCCAAACCACCTCCTCTTCCTACATCACCCACTTGCTTTTTTGTTCTGTGGGCAGGATTGTACATAGAATTTGACGCTGTGCATAGACTTCATCTCACCCTCTATCCCTCCCCCAAGCTCATTCCTCGTGTCTAAGGAGCCTGCCTCTTATATGTGTAGCCTGCTGCTCTCTCCCCGGGTCTCCCCTCCCGCCCCCCACTGGCTCACACTGCTCCAGTCAGGCCTCTGTGGAAATTTTCCTTTCTCCAGTCTGATCATGCTGGTTCCTGCTTAGAAGTCCTCAGTGGAGCCCTGCTGCCACCAGGAGGGGCTCCACGCTCACTGGCAGCCCTCATGAGGCCCTTGGTCCCCTGCCTGTATCCCACACCCACCCTGTACTCAGCTGAGCTATGGTGCCCTGAGAGCAGTCACCATCATGTCGCCAATGTCCCTGGGTGGCAGGCCACTTGATGAGCTCCCAGTCCTCTTCAGACATGACCTTAGCACCTCCTTCACAGTGCAGCATGTTCCCTGTGAGGTAATTTATGGGGCAGGGCACCCCTCCTTTATCTCTCATTCTGTGTTACATTGTTCAGTGCCCTTGCTGGAGCAATTACCTTTTTACTTCAGAAAATTTAATTGATCTTAATGAGGTGGTAACTCTTGGGACTAACCTTTGTGACTGGAAAAGCCATTTGAATGAAAGAAGTCCTTCCTAGCCTGCATCCTCCCAGGCAGTTCCCCTTCACGCCATAACCTCATGCCAACTTCTACCACAGGACATTATTCCTGGAATCATGCACTGGAAGAGATTCCAATCCCTGGCACTCTCAGCCCTGCCTGACCCGTCGAAGACAGAGACTACCCACAGGTGAGCCCTCAGCCTCTGCAGAACTGTGAGCCAAAGCAAACCCCTCTCCTTATCATGTACTCGGTCTAAGGCTTTCCACAACGGAAGGTGAACTAAGGCACCCAGCGTCCAGTCCAGTCACCCCGGGTCCACTACCCATGCGCCTGCACAGGTATTTGAGATCAGTCTGTGACCCTAGAACGCTTCCTTCGCCTGCTTCCTTCGTAGCCAGGCGCATGAAGCTGTACTTCCCGAGGCTCATCCAGGCACCGTCCCTTCCGAGGGGCTCCCCTCTTTACTGCCCCCTTCTGCCTGGAGATGGCCTGAGATAGGCAGAAAGCACCCCCCCCCCCACTTGAGTCAGTGACAAGAGTTCAGACAGGCTTGTGCCTTTCTCCTTGTTCATTCACCTGCTGCCATCTCACGATAAAGTCAGCGATCTTGCTCCTTATTTTAGCCTACTTTTAGAATCTAAAATCTCCAGAGCCAGGGAAAATAATAGCATTGCGGTAAGAAGAAAAGCCGGAGACCTGGCGTGGTGGCGCGCGCCTGTAATCCCAGCTCTTGGGAGGCTGGACACAGGCCGATCACTGAGTCCAGTCTACATAGTGAGACCCTGTAGACTCTGTAGACCCTGTACAAAGAGAAGAGAGAGAGAGAGAGAGAGAGAGAGAGAGAGAGAGAGAGAGAGAGAGAGAGAGAGAGAGAGAGAAGGAAAGCCCGAGCATTGGAGACCTGCCTCTGTCCTGGTGGGCGGGCCCCCAGCCCTCTGTGGTTGGGGAGTCGCTTCTCACCCACGACCTTCGAATAGTCACGGGACGAAGTTACCTGATCATGTGAAGGACCTCGCATCTAGGCTGCTGCTAACCTCGATGACGTGCGCCTTCAGCCCGCTGCCAAGCCTTGCCGCCACCCTGCCGCCACCAGATGGCGCCATCACCACCTCAGTGATTGTCTTTTGCTGAGGCCGAGGCCGCTGTAGGAGTGACCGAGCAACCAGTACCACGCAGCTGGGTCTGCGGTGCCTGCCGTCAGGAGCCTGAATAAGCACAGGACAGGAAGTGGAGACTGCCCTGTCTACCTGCTATGAGCAGGACCCATTAGGAAAGCTCGGCCTGTTTTTGTTTCCAAAGTAATGTCCTTGGAGAAAGAAAATCTCCCAAGGCTGTTCTTTCAACAAGCAGATGTGCTTGCCTTGGGCTTGAAATAGCCATGAATTAAACATGAATTCTATGTGAGCTAAAGAAAATTCTCCCACCACGGTTTGCTACTCTGTTTCTGTGTCCGAATGCTCTCTCGGGCCTGTTTGTTTTAAACAAACTGTGGTTACATAACAGCTCAAAAATAGTGTCTTCTACCTTTTCTCATCAAGGGTTTCCAGTAAATCCGAGCTGTTACTTCTAAACACAAAATAATAATAATAGTGACTCCCTTTTAAATTTTGGCCCCCATCCCCACTCCTCGGTACTGGGAATTGAACCCAAGACCTGAGCACTCCTCCAATCCTTTTTATTTTTATTTTTATTTTTGAGACAGGATCTCATTGTCACAACCTTACCTGGGCTGGGCTCACCCTGAAATTCTCCTACCTCGGCCTCCCACAGAATTGACACTATAGGCCTGTGTCACCACAATAAGCTCTTAAATTTGTCTTAATCAGTTTACACTGCAATAACAAAATACCACAGTGTAGGTTAGTTATAAGCGATAGGAACATACTCCTGACAGCCCTGAAGACTGGGAAGTTCAAGGTCAAGGCAGTGGCAGATCTGGTGTCTAGTGAGGGCTTCTTGCTGTGTCCCTCACAAGGAAGAAGGAGCAAGACAATCCCCCAACGAGCCTCTTCTTCTTTTCTTCTTCTTCTTCTTCTTTTTTTTTTTTTTTTTTTTTTTTTTTTTTTTTTTTTTTTTT